GTGTGTGTGTGTGTGTGTGTGTGTGTGTGTGTGTGTTTCATTATTACTGACAATAGCCCAGTTTTCTATAATCTCATCCTAGCTTTCCAGTCACGATAAGCTTATTGGAGAGGGGAGCCCCTTCATTATCAGTAGACTGAGGTCCACTAAATTGGCTTTCAATTCAATGTTCCCTTCGTCACTGGCAACCATGCAACTGATATGTTAACTTCTTCTCCTGATGCTGATCCAAGTGGAAGACAACTGAGACAGACTGACTCTTTGTGCTCTTGGTAGTGTTATCGGCAAGGTGGAAAAGCAGATTCTCTTTCAGAACATTTCTGTGCTCTTGACCACAACGAAAGAACTACATTAAAAATACTGCCATCTCAAACTGCTGAGTTTCAAGAAGTCTGAATTCACTTAATGAGAGTTCAGAGCCAAAGAAAAGTCAATGGGTCTCAGGCTGCACTAAAGAACATCCAAAGTTTCAAATAATGATGAGAAATCTTTTCCGTCAGACACTCTGGCAAAGACAAGATTGAATCCTCTCAAGAGCAGTGATTCTCAACCTTGGCTGCACGTTGGAATCACCTGGGGAGCTTTTGAAAAACAAGATGCCTGGGCTCCACTCAAAACTAACTTGAATCAGGAATTCCTGGAATCACGTTTTTTGAAAACTCCCCTGGTGACTATGATCCACAGTGAGGGTTAAGGGCCATTGCTGCTTTTAAAGCCTTACTACTCAAAGTGAGGTCCTTAGACTAGCAATGGCTTCACCTGGGAACTGAGAAGAAATGCAGAATCTCAGGCTCTGCTCCAAACCTACTATACTAAAATCTGTATTTTAACAAGATCCTCATATGGTTCATTAGACAATGAAGTTTGAGAAGCACTGCTCTACAGGAAGGGCTCAAACACAGGACATGTTTTGTAACAATCCACCAACCTTCACCTCCAAGTTCTTGCTTAAATGGTTATCTGACTTGACTGTAATGTTAGAAATGCCATTGTCCAATCTGGAGGCACTGAAGAATGAAAAGATGTAACTGGTAAGTAAAAGAAAGTGACCTCAACATTACATTATAGCTAACTGAAGGCTGAATTGTAGGGAGTAAATTAGGGAAGGATTAGATTTTTCTTTTCATGATTCAGCGCTGTTGCCTCACCATATATCTGCCCCAAAGACAAACTTAGCTTTTCCTTACCCACTTTCAAAAAGGTCTAGAGGGGTAAAATCCAACGCCAAAAAGTCTGTCAATTATTGTTTCCAGAGCTCTGCCAAGCAGGAAGACAGTATTTTACACAATCATCCTGGTGTACAATCATTTTGGAATGATTTTTAATCAACTTCAATTCCAGCTGAACATCACCTGGATTTATGCACAATTACAGAGTGAAGAGAGCGTGATGGCTATGCTGAGAAAAGATAAATTACTTTTGCAGAACTCAGACCAAAATGACTGGGGCCAGTATTTCCAATACATCATGTAATATATATCACCTAGCAAACTTCAATTATTTGTTTTTAGAATAATCTTTGTCCCAGTCTTAGAGACCACAATACCTTGTGAATATTCTGGTAAGTTTTGTTTATGTTTGGATAGTCCGAACATAGGGATATTCTAAAAATCTGTTAGGCATGTTGAGATGTTAACCTAAGAGGCTCTGACATATCTGAGGAAGTCTGGTTATAAGTGCTATTGTGTTCTGAAAGGCACAGGCTAAATGCTAAAATATCTGACAACGTTACAAAGGCAGAGGTGCAGTCAGAGAAGCAGATGCCTTCATGTGCCACAGGGAGAGGCAGATGAATCAACAAGTAAAATGTAGCATATACACATACATACGGAGTATTATTCAGACTTTAGAAAAGAAATCCAGTCAAATGCTAGCACAGGGATGAACCTTGAGAACATTATGCTAAGTGAAATAAGCCAGTCACAAAAAGACAAATATTGTATGATCCCATGTACATGAGGTATTAAGACTGGTGAAATTCATAGAAACGGAAAGTAGAATGGTGGTTACCAGGGGTTGGGGAGAGAAGGAAAGGGTAGTTATTGTTTATTTATTATTATTTTTTTTTTAAATATATCTTTATTGATTTCAGAGAGAGGAAAGGGGAGGGAGAGACAGAGATAGAAACATCAATGATGAGAGTCATTGACCGAGCCCACAACCCGGGCATATGCCCTGACCGGGAATCGAACCCCGATCGCCTGGATTCTAGGTTGATGCTCAACCGCTGAGCCACACCCGGCCGGGAGGGTAGTTATTGTTTAATGGGTATAGAGTTTCAGTTCCTCAAGATGAAAAAGTCCTTAAGATATGGATCACAGCAATGTGAATATATATTTAACACTACTGAACTGCACATTTTTAAATAGTTAAGATGGTAAATTTTGTTCTGTGTTTTTTACAACTTAAAAAAAGTCAAAGCCCGACAAAATACAGAAAAGTTAAGTGCTGAGCCTGAACCTCCAGAGTTTCTCTGGCCACCTGCCTGATTTTGGATTTCTGTTTCTATGCTCAGCTGGAATGCAGACTTGCTGTCCTGGCCTAATCCCACCACACCCTAGAAGGGCACTAGTTTTATACCAGGCTGACCCCGGCACCAAATCTGATAAGCTTAACTATGAGATTATCGCCTTAAAATATGAAGAAAAGAACCCACTAATGATTTTATAATTTCATTTTTCCCCTCCCTTCTCTTTTATATCTGAGACAGTATAGATAAATCACCACCTTTAGAATGCAGAAGAGAAACAATGACTTTTCAGTGGAAATCCACATGTGATCACAGACCACTGTAAGAAGGGCCAAGCCAAGTTCAACTTCTGGAAATCTACCATATAAACAAACATGACCCACAGGTACATCCAGAATATGAATTAGTTTCTTACCTTTGAAGTCAGTGAACACTAATCACAATGAGAAGTTATTTTGTTTATTTTATTCATTCATTACTTGTTTATCATCTGTCTCCCCCACCAGAATATGTGTTCTATGAGTGCAATGATCTTGTCTGTCTGGTTCACTACTGGATCCACAGCATCTAGCACAGCCATAGTAGGTGCATAATGACTATTTGTTGAGAGTACAAATAAACTGACTTTGTATGTCAGAGGTAAAAAACCAGTAACTCTAAGAAAGTGCAACATTTGTTCTACATTAGCAAGGAATCCAATGTCTACTCTGCCATGATGCTACCTTCAGGGCAGGAATGATACATCTAAATGAAATGACACCAAATGGAACATTCTTCATTAAGGACATGACACTATACTCTGAAAATATTCCAATTCTAACCTATCTCACCTCCTGTTAACACTGTTATACTCTCTAATCCTACCCCATCCCCAATACCCACAAGGTAGTAACCTCCAGCCACTCTGAACTTCTTGCTGTTCCTGTAAACATATGACCTTCCCCTCTGGGCCTCCATGCTTTTATGGTTCTCTCTGCTGAAGATATACTCTCTCTCCCACCCTTTTCCATCTAGTGAATGCTTACTAATATTTCAAGACCCAACAAAATGTCCCCTTTAATTAAAGCCTCTCTACTTCATGCTCGCTTCAGCAGCACATATACTAAAGCCTCTCTAACTCAACCAGGGAGGAACAAACACTATGTCCTCTGTGCTCCCATAGCACTTTGCCTTTTACTGCTTCAGACTCATCACTGTGCCTCACTCAGTAAGTATTTAATAGATACTTACTGAATAAATGACTCTAGTTATAATTACTAGATTGTAAACTCCCCAAGGGCCAGGGTTATATTTCATTCTTTTAAGTCAGTGGTTCTCAACAAGGGGTGATTTTAGCCCCCAGGAGAGATTTGCCAATGTCTGGAGACATTTTTGGTTGTCACAACTGTCAGGAGAGGGGAAGTGCTACTGGCATCTGGTGAGTAGAGGATGCTGCTAAACACCCTACAATGCACAGGACAGCCCTCACAACAAAGAATTATCTGGCCAAATATGTCAATAATGGTGCTGTTGAGAAATCCTCATCTATCTAAGTGTATCTTTTAAAACCTGCTTAGAATAGATGTGTTGTTGAATACATGGCCTGATAATTTTCACCAGGTTCTAGAAATTTGGCATGGCCACTAAGTTGGGCCTAAGAAATGAGGTGAAGCTACTGAAGAAAAGTGAGAGCTCTACTTTTCTGCATTCTCTAAAAGATGCCTCACATTAAACTACCTCCAAGTCAAAGTGTCCACTACAAATACACATGCCTAAGGAAAGTCACTAAGATATTAAAAAATCCTTGTAGTTTCCTTGCCTAAGGTAAATTATATTTTCATCTCCCTACCCAAAGATCAGGAATAAATTATGCTTTTGTAAATGTGCTTGAGATTAAACATGTTTTAGTCTAAGTTTTGGTTATTCATCTCATAGCTCTTTATACTCTTTAAAAAGTTTCTCATTCTTTCTTACCACTGTTAAATTCCGGATTTCTTCCATGACACGAGGCCAGAAGGACTGTAGGCTTTGCTGGGCATCACTGCTGCTGGTACCACCAAATCCTCCTTCTGTGGACATTCTGACAACTGAAAACAGACAAATACATGAGACATATTAGAAATAATAATAAAGTCAGAATTTCCGTCTAGGTTACTTATTTCTTTACTTGTAGATGTTTTCACTACTTCATTCAACTTTTCAACAATGGGAAATTAAATTTGTGATAGAAAGAAAAGGGTCAAAACCTACATTCAGTCAACTGCTTTGTGATGGGGAAGGAAGATCAGTTAGGATCTCCACATCAGCTATAACTTGTAGATAATACTGTAATGTCTTAAAAGACTTTCAGTGGGAAAGTACAAAACTCCAGATGGCTTAAATGCTGATCTGGCAAATACTTAAATGCAAGAAACAGTTTAATCAAACACAAAGAACTAGAAACTTAGTGATGTCCTAAGAATTTCTGCTCTGGGATATTTGAAAAGGTTTAACAATGCCAGTGACAGGATGCTGGTGTAGAGCTATGTAAGGAATTAAGAACTAATTCTGAAGGGCTGGAAAAAAAGCACCAAAGCAGGTGTCACATGACCAAACGTGTTACTTTCTAAGCTCCATGCAGATGCATGCTGGGCAGACCACTTTCCATCAGCAGAGTGGAATGAAGGCTGCTAAATCTAGGATTAGACTGTGAGGATGTTTGATTCACTCTTAAATGTCTGCCTGGGGTTGTACTAGGGGTCTCTGATTTTTTAAATTTTTCCAGGAAAAGGAAAAAGGAAAAAGGAAAAAGGAAAAAGGAAAAAGGAAAAAGGAAAAAGGAAAAAGGAAAAAGGAAAGGAAAGGAAAGGAAAGGAAAGGAAAGGAAAGGAAAGGAAAGGAAAGGAAAGGAAAGGAAAGGAAAGGAAAGGAAAGGAAAGGAAGAGTACAATCTTCAAAGCAGATTTCACTCTGGTGTAATGACATCAGTGGGTGATGATATAATGGGAAAAGATTTGGAGCCCATTTCTAGTGCTGGAAGCCTACAAGAAGCTCTATACATCAACAGGAACTCTAAGTACTAGGAAGCAATATGATCTTGGAGCTCCTGGAGGGATTTAAAGTGAAAAGTGTTGAATCACAGTTGTAAATGACTAGAGAAAATCTTGAGTCCTAAATAACCAACCAAGGTCCTCGACTCAGCTCCCATTACATTTTCACTTATCACCATATGTGCATAACCTATACACTATTCTCTTAGATGTATTGAGAACAAAGAAATCAAGGTAATCTAGTGAAGTTTAATTATTTTTATTAATAGACTCTTATGAGGTACTCATAACAATAAGAGAGTGAGACTCACTAACTTTTTTAAATGGGGCAAATAGCCCTAGCCAGTTTTGTTCAGTGGTTAGAGCGTTGGCCTGAAGACTGAAGGGTCCCAGGTTAGATTCCAGCCAACAGCAAGTACCTCGGTTGCAGGATAGATCCCCAGGCAACCAGTCAATGTGTCTCTCTCAAAGTGATGTTTCTCTGTCTCTGTCTGTCTGTCTTTCCCCCTTCCACTCTCTCTGAAAAGCAATGGAAAAAATATCCTGGGGTGAGGATTAAAAAAAATAAAATGGGGCAAATAAAAACTCTTTCTGGAAATGAAAATTACTTAAAAATTTAAAATAAGAATCTAACCCTGTGTTGTACGGAGCTACGGAAGGCCTGATCTTAGCAAAATCAAGCATACTACTACAGTCAAAGGAGGAATATGCACAATCGCCAGTGTGGTATCTTTTTTACTTGCTAATGATGAGTGTGGGTTTAGTTTGAGTGTAAAGGTCTGTGAGATTTAGAAAACTGGTAACAACTTTTGGTTGTCTTCTGATATCTTCCAACAATCATTACAAAGGTGAACAATTCAAGAAACACCTTTAAAAATGGTCTGTGCACAGTCTGCTTTTAAATTTTGCATCATCCCAACTAAGGATGTCTTGGCGCAATTGGTTCCCAAACATAGATCATGAATAGATCATAGTCAATAGATCATGAATGTCTCTTTGGCTGGCTCAAAGACACACACTTTTGGAGTGGGGATTAGGTACAAAATAGAAGTTAAATATTTCTGAAACTCAAAATGATTTAAAGGTTAAGTTTTTAACTTGAGAGGCCTATCTGAATTAGATAATCACAAGTGGATAATGGCAAAGAGTATGTCAATAAAAATGTCCTTTATATTTTACTGTATCATAGAAGTTTAGGAATGAAAAAAAGACACTAAGAGCCACCCAGGCCCACTCCTCTAAAAGATACTTCAACCTCTGCCCAACCCCCTCAATCCCACTTTAAGTGGTCATTTAGCTTAAATATGAACTTACCCCTCTCCAGTTCTGGGAAACTGGCTTATTGGTAAGGCATTCTGTTCTACCTGTGGACAGCTCTGACTGTTCTATACATTAAGTTGAATTTACAAACAAAGTTCCATTTGAGTTTTGGATTTAGAATTATAGCTTTTATTTTTCCATCCAGAAACTTCTTTTTAAAAATTACCCATTTCAAAAATACTCTCATTAGAAACAGAAGATTCTATCCTGAGGAAAAAGACAAAAAAGTTTGGAGGATGTTTTCTAGCATCTTTGCACAGAGATGATTAGTAGCTAATTATTTTAATGCCTACTGAAAAAGCACAAATTGTTATTGTAAATTCCTAGAAAAAGTGAGTACTTTGATTCAAAAGGCTTTCCTTAAAATAGATCCAGTCTTTACGTGGGGCTTTAAAAATCAGACAAAATCTCAAGCAACAGATTTTATGAAAACAAATTGATGTTCTCAATATTTTCTGACCAAGGCACAACTTAACATTAAAATAATAAAACCTAGTCATAAACACAAGCAAGTTTTGCTCACCAAACATCCCAAAGAGTTAAAAAAAAAAAAAAAAAGCAACTTTAATCTTATCACATATTTTTATAATACATTAATTGCAACAAAATTGATTTTGCTACAGAAGTAGCCTATTTATAACATTTACTGCCCATGGAAAATAAGCTAGGTTCATCTTCTAGGATGATGAGAGAAGCTATGTATTTAAAAGTAGGAGATTTATATTCCATTACCCTTTTTATTCCATTTTAAATTGCTATCTCTATCATGGGATAAAGCTATTTATATACAGTTGACAATGACAAAACTGCCCTAAGACCAAGCCACATTAGCTTAGATCACTCTTATGAAAAATGCAGTACTGAACTTCCCAGATTTAATTCATTATTGATATTAGATGTATCATTCATGTTCATTAATTACTACATAAGTACTTGAATAAGACTCCCTGACTATTTAATAAAGACTTAGGGATCAGATGAAGTATTGAATGGTTGTTGCTAGATGCAATCTCAGCTCACAATATCTATTAATTTATTTGGTTTTAAAAACAGTTTGCTTTCCAAAGCTAGAAAGGGAAGAATCAAAGTCCATCACGAAAAGGCTATTGCTCCAATGTTCAATGCAACTGCCATCTCTCCACAAGTCATCTCTACATATCCCCATCTGGAAGTGATCACTCCTTCTTATGAACCTAGAGCCCTTTATCTGTATCTCTTTCTGCCCTCACCACATTACCTTGTATGATCATTATTTATGTGTATATATTATCATTTCCCTTTCTGATTTACAAACTCCCTGTGGCTAAGACGTGAGTATGATTCATTTCTGGATTCCTTGCAGCATCTAGCATGCAGACTGATAAGTAATTGCTCCCAAATAAAAGGGCAAGAGAGTTGCTGGGTATGACCTTTCTGAGAAAAAGAGGCCTCTTGGAAGATTTGGCCCTGAAATAGACTTATTGGGAGTGTGTGAATAACCAAAGGAAGTGCTTATACAAAATAAATGAGGTTCTCACTGGGCCTTTAAAGTAAGGAGTACAATCAGCAATCCACATGATTGGAAGGACACAGACGGATGGACGTACACACACAGTCTTGAACATTGCAAGGCAGACTGGAAGGCAGGAAACATGGGTGCATACCATTCCCAAATATAAATCTTTTGAAAGTCAGAACCTTCTCAGAAAGGAAACCAGGACAGATTAGCAAAGTCTGAAAAATTTATGACAGTATGTAAATAGGAGGAGTGCAAATACCTCTACTGGCCACCCATTACCAGGCTGATAAGGAGAAAGCCATGGAGGAAATATGATTCAATCGGATCACTCAAGGGTGGCCAATCTAGCTGCCATTCAAATATCCAGTTACTCTTTATCATTCTAGAAGAAAGAAAAAGAGACCTAAGCAGTTTTCAAAATATCCCAGAAGTAGAGTGCTCCTCTTTTAGGTTTCTCTTGAAAATCTTTCAAACTTTTGCTTTTGATCAGGTACCATGCTTGCCAAATTCTCCCTTAGTAATATGCCTGGACATGGAAAGGATGTACCAAAATGATCACCCTCATAAAATACAAACAAATATAAGGTTTTATTGCAATATTCCCTAATTTCTAAAGTTCTGTACCTTTAGATTTTAGCGCTCCTATTTCTTGGCATGTACCTCATTTTCTCTACAAAAGTCCTTTGTAATATGCCTAAATCCACAATACAGCTCTCTGAACTAACTAAAAGCAAATTAGATGTTTTGGGGCGATAACACTTTAAAACCCTAATATCACAACAACTACTCAAGAGGAAAAAAAAAGACCACAGAAAGCTCCCCTAAAATGAAGCCCAATCCTTGACCAATGCTGCTTCTATTGAAGTACAAGAGCTGACTCATCCCAGGCAGTCAAGATTTACTTAAAAAATAATGCTCTCATTGTCAAATGTAAGCAAATACCTCTTAGCCCAGTTCTGAATGAAAATCAAATCTAAACACTGTTACTATCTTTCCCTTTAATGCCCCCCCCCAGTCCAACTTGCAGCCTTTAGGTTGCTGTGAGTGTCCCCAATCATTCCCGTGTCTCCAACTTAGTATACGCCCAGAAGTATCTCCCTATGTTCAAAGCACGTATCTTTTTCACTCCCTTTTTGACTTGCATTTTAATCATGTTTTCCTCTGTCATGAGATGACAAGATTTTTATTTTAAAATCCAATCCACAACACTATCACATGTACTTTAAGTTCCAGTACTGAT